AACCACTCGGCCACCGCGCCGCACGATGGTGCTAGTGCGCTTGGTCCACCAGCTTTGCAGCATCTCGGCATGCCCAGTGGCTGAGGGCCGTGCTGGCATGCCCACGCCCCACAAAGCCCGACGCGAATGTGACGAGATCTACAGCCACGTCAAGCTTACCTTGCGCTACAAAACCGGCAGCCGCACCAATGCCGTTCACCGCGCAAAGCATCGCAAAGGCGTGATCTGTTGGATGGACCTGTTGTTTCAGCACAACGGCGAAAGCAGCCCAGGCCCTTCAGGGGAACCAACTGATTAAGAACCTGACCACCGTGATCCACCACGGGGCCCCGCGCCAGGCGCCAGCCACCTGGGCCCCGCGACAGGCCCAGAGGGTCACGACAACAAGAAACCGACGCAGAGCCAAGCAAGCAGCCACCAGCAGGGATTCATTTCTAAGCCAGCCACCTACAGCGGGAAAGGCACTCTGCCGACTGCCGACCTCTTCACGCGAGGATTCGTCATCACGATCGGCAGCAGGTCTTCCAACCAGCACATGCAGAGGTTCCGATTGGCTCAGCACGCGTTCCAGTCATCCCCGTTGGGGAGCACGCCACCACCACGACCACCAACAACGAAGGTCATGAGTACCGACCAAACGACGCCTAGCAGCGAGGTCGGCCCATTCGACACGAGGTATTTAGTAGTTTGTTTGGACACAAGTGCCTTCCAGGACCAGAGCGGGGATGAGCACTACCCCGCCTACGACAACATGGGCTACATAGAGACGGACTCTGGCCCAATGACCAGCACAACCAGCGACCGCACCAGACTCAAGCCCATTGGAGCCGCATCCGAAACAGACAACCCCCCAGCGACCATGCCGACGGCGTGACCGGCGACAACACGACGCCCGCCCCTCGTGGCTCGACCCCCAGGTCAGAGCGCACCACCCACCCGCCTGCCTCTCTTCTCGACAACCAATGGCCAGGAGGCGAACGCCACCCTCATGCCGAGACAGGACCTGCCGCACGGAGGCCCGCCAGTGCGCCAATATTCCCCCAGCGCCAATTTTGCGACCAGCGACCGCGGATTCCTGCGCATTCTTGCGCAGGCAGCGCAACGCGTTACCAGCTGCCCCATTACCGACTCCCGACCTCTGCGCGGTTCTTGACTCAAGCAGCCGCTCTCATTGTTACGGCAGCAGCAGCAGCAGCAGCAGCAGCAGCAGCAGCAGTTGGACCTTTGGTCGATTACGGCACACAGTACGCGACCACTCCCATTCCCACATGACAGCAGCACGGCAGCATTACGCAGCAGCCCCAGCACGCGGCGACAGCAGCAACCTCCGGAGGCACGAAGATGGTGTGTCCACGGGCGTGTTTTTCTCTCTCACACTCATCCAACGGGCCACGTGCATACACGGCGACTACAGCTACAATAGGCCATGCTTTGCAGTGGGTCCACGGACAGACAGGGCTCCAAAACCCGCCGTGGTTTTCTCGCCCACGTATCCTGATCATCCGACTCACTGCACGTCTGCCCGCATGGGTGGAACAACGTATCTCCAGACTGGTGAATAGAGCACCACAGTGGTTGTGGTCTTAATCGTAAACTACGTGCTGGGAAAATCTTCATTCACACCTGTATGCCCCGCTCCCCCCACCTCTCGGCCAGCTACCCTATTCCTGCCCAGTCGCGCGGCGGCGGACTAGGGCGGGGGGGATCGCATTGGAGGGGGACTACAAAGGGAGCGCACCAACGGCTCTTGCCCGGGCAAGAGCCAGGGTGGCCGCGGCACACAGCCATTGTCAGCCGATCAACACCGATAGTCAAAGGATTCACCGCCGCAACCCACACAGGCTCTTCCGCCGTCTCGTCTCGCCTTTCTCCCTGCCATTCCAGCCGGGGCCGCTCACCGCTCAGAGCCGCCTTACCCCCTGCCCAGCATTGTCGCACTCTCGCACCTAGTTCCTTCGCTCCACGCCTCACGCCTCTAAGCCGCAGGTGCGCCCCGCCCCCGCTGTTTTGCCTCGCCTAGCCTGCTTTTCTGCCTGTCACTCGGCAGCCGCCGCAAATTTGTGGGGAGGCGCGGTTAATATGGAGGGAGGGATATGCAGCATGCTTTCCACGAGATGGGCCACTGCCATCTTGGCGAGCATGGCCGCGGCCACGCCTGCGCACCCACCTTTATTCTTGCCACCGCACTTTGCCGTCACGCCGCCATGCCACTTCATCCCCCCTCCTATTTGAGGCGCATTCCAATCCACCGTTTTGCCTATCCTTGCCTGTCTTCAGCCTCTCACGTTGCGGCCTCCGCCAACTTGCGGAGGGCTCGAGGTATTGACCCGGGGGGTCGGAGGATGCAGCACCCTTGCCGCGAGAGGGACCACCGCTTCGGGATGGCGCAACCCCTCCCCTTGCCTGGTGGGGACCCCTGGGTGGCCCCCCTCGGGATCCCGTGCGGGTGAGGCGAGAGGCCCTTGCGCCATCCAACGTTTGGCGAATGTGGCCCCGGCCACGTTTGCGCACCCGCTCTCACCGCCGGCCACCACGCCCTTGCCGTCGCACAGCCACCCCCCCCACCACCCCCACTCATCCCCTTTTTTTATGATGCCTTTCCTCCCTCTGCGTTGTGTTTGTGTGCTTCCTCCTCTCCTCCTTACTGCGTCACCGCGCAGCGGCACTGCGCCGCTGCAGGCACAGTATTTAGACCTCGCCCTGGGGAGGGGGACGTGGCAGCATCCGACGGACACACCTGCCAGCATATCAAAGCTCGAAGTGAGAGGAGTGGAGTGGAATGGAGTGGAGTGGAGCCCATCACAGAGTCATGATTCGAATACCCGCCTGCCTTCCCAAAAATCACAAAGCCGAGATCGAAGAAGTAGTCATGCAAGTTTCACTGTTATTTCAGGCTCCTCAGCCCCCACAACAAGAAAACCAACAACGCTTTCACCGTTATTTCAGGTTCTTCACCATCTGAGTAAAACCAAACGTGGCCAATGAACGGAGTGCTGAAAATGCCCACCAAACGACGCTGCAAATTCTGAATGGCACAAAGCAGTGTGTACGTACAGGATTCACACTCACCACGCACGGAGTTTAACCATGGAGAGTGCATGCCGATCTGAGTATACGAGCAATGTCTCCTGATACCGCTGGAAACCAACGGCAGGGCGAACGGTTAGACAGGATCCACTCGAGCCTTACCGCCGATCTACAATCCACCCACCAAGAGCGTCAAGTAGCTTCACAACAGCCGCCCGCGCCAGGCCACGCAGGGAATCTGAAATCCGCCGCCTGCCCAATGACCAATGTCAATGATGCACCTCCACGAGTGCCACATCGAGCGAAAGCGGAATGAAAACTTGAAATGATAAGTTGCGCATTGATCCTACAAAAAGAATGAATCCGTCCAAGGAACACCACCATTGAAGTGCACCCAGGGACGGGGGGACGCGTTTGCATGGGAAGGCCTGGGGTGGGCCGCGCTGGAGATTTCCAGGGAGGAAAACAAGTTGCGTTTGCATGTATACAGAGTTCATTAAGTTAGCTCGGTCTTAGCCAACCTGGGAAGCACGATAAAACAATCGAATACGATGAAGTTGCTCGGAGCAACAAGATGTCACAAGCACGTCCGCGATGAGGCGCCGATGGTGGCTACATGGCCAGTTGGAGCCGAGCCAAAAGAGATGGCTATGGACTTGCCTCGAAGCCGCTTGTGCTTGCTCGAAGGGGGCGGAGGAGAAGGAAGAGGGGAAGGAGAAGGGAGGGGGGAGGGGTGCGCGCAGGAGGAGGGGGGTACCTCCGCAGAGACCTCCGCATCTGGCCGTTCGGGGCGGGCCCTCGTCGCGACGCTTGGGTCCAGCTCGAAATGTTGCTCAGAGCGCACTCTGGGGGGATGTCTGGGCCTGATTCTGCGTAATGTGGTCGCATGCTTCCTTCGTTGCGCTTTCTCTGGCCTCGCTGCTCCTGGGCTCCGCGGCAGGCCCTGTCCGCCCCGACAGAGGGCGGATATGGCGCCGGAAGGTGCCAAAACAAATATCCGCATATAGCCGATGATTTGCATCCGTCCGACCCGACGGGGACGCCTCCAGCACCAGGAGAGGCCAGAAAAGCCAGCCGCATGCACTTGATTATTTGGCATTCTCCACTCTCGTCCGCCCCCACAGGGGGGCCTCCGGCGCCAGGAGGCATCGGAAATACCAGCCGCACGCAGCTCAGTCGCCCACCCCTTTCGTTGCTTTCCCCCTTCGTCCGCCCCGTCGGGGAGGCCTGCGGCGCCAGGAGGTGCCAGGAAAACCAGCTGCGCCCAGCTGGTTCGCTAACCCCCTTCTCAGCCACGCGCAGAGGGGGGGTAGGGGGAGGGGGGAAGGCTTCTCAGAAGCACCCCTGCTGATTAGAAGGCGCGGGCCGCGTCTGTCCGGCGCCTTCGAAGCAGCGGCCGCCTTCTAAGAAGCCTTCCCCTTTCCATCTACCCCCTGCTGCGCGCCGCTAACCGTTGCTATTTTCTCGTCTCGTCCGCTCCGGCCAGGGCGCCCATGACGCAGGGAGGCGCCTAGAGAAATCAGGTGCATGCAGCTGCTTCACCAGGCCCTCCTTTGCTTTTGCCCCTTGTCTCGGCCGCCCCGACAAGAGCGCCTCCAGCGCCAGGAGGCGCCAGAAAAAACATCTACATGGAGTTTTGATAACCCCCCTTCTGCTATTCCCCCCCTCTCGTCCGCCCCATCGGACAAGGGATGATAGGGCATTCCCTTGGCGATCAACCCCCAACAACAGGCTACGAGCTGGGGTTGTCTCCAAGTGAGGGGCGTCCCTCATTTGACAAGGTCCATGGTGGCCCCGAAGGGTTGTCAAATGGCGACCCGCTCGTAGACCTGGCAGATTGGTCAGTGATTATCCTGTTTGGGGCTAGCTAGGCGGGAGGACGGGAAAGATGTGCGCTCACATGAGGGTGAGAGGCGAGGGTAGGAGGAGGGGGATAAGAGAGGGTGCTTTGGATTCCTGAGCTGGGAAATGAGGTCGTGCCGTACTACTTCGGGATGGCTTCCACTGGAGTTCTGATGGTTTGCAAGCCGACTCCCAGGCTTGCATCGTTGCCACTGCATCGCAGCGTTTTCATCGCGTGTTTCGGCATAGTTGCGCAAAGCCTCAATTGGACGGGCAACATGTTTGCAGGTAGCTCTATCTTCGCCGTCATTTATTCGTCCGTGACGATTTGGGCTGCACTCTTATCTCGCGTGCTCATGCAACGGGTTCTTACCATATGGCAATGGTGTGGAATATTCGTCGTATTCTCTGGTCTGGCGATCACTGGTTTTGAGGCGAAGCACCAAGGAGATAAAATTTTCCTCGGCGCGGCAATGGTGACAGTCGGAGCGTTTCTGCACGCACTGAGCCATAGCCTCAGCGAGTTAATCTCGGTGCGAGGGGCCCGAATCCCTCCGTACGTCAATTCATGCGTACAGGGTTGCGTCTGTTGCACGCTGGTGGGCACATGGCAGTGTACCTACACGGTGTCCCACTGGGAGAAGATCGCGATTCCCATGGAGGACGCCGGCACCACGTGGGGCTACGCCTCGCTGCTGCTGTGCGGGGTGGCGGCGGGCAATTTCGTACATGCGGCCACCTTCTTCTACCTGCTGACCAGCATCGGCGTGGTGTCCACTGGCGTGCTCAAGTCCGTGCAGTCGGTGGCCGTGTTCTGCCTAGCGCACTTCTTGTACTGCGACCGCGACGAGTCGCAGTGCTTCACTCCGGTGAAGGGTGCCTCCCTTGTGACCGTGGTGTGCGGCGTGCTGTGCTACGTCGCAGCCACTGGCGCCGCGCAGAGCCGCCAGCTTGCTGGCAGCTACGAGAAATAAGCGGTGGCCACCGTCGGAGATAAATGTTCGAATCATCCTAGCCCGTCTTGCAGTGCTGCTCGTTCTTCCTCCGCCTCCTCGCCCGGTCCCGTGTCTTGATCTTCCTGTTCATGTGCCACATCCTCTGACCTTGTTTATCCAACCGAGAGTAGTCAATAAATGCTAGGGTAACCATCGGAAGTCAGATGCACGTCACCATGCTGCGTTAGGCCATACGATCGGCACATGGAAGCGACATGGCAGTGGCTCGCACAACGCAGAGCCCCCCCCAGTGTCCTCCGCCCGTGCTTGGCCTTACAGACCGCCTGCCTCGAAGGCATCTTAACAGGGTGCCCAGAGCCAAGAGAAGGCCGCATCGAGCGGTGAAGCAGCAGGGCCTTCTCTGTGGGGCTCAGCGGAGAGGTGGAGGCGCATGCATGGACCGAAGGTGCTGGACCTCCTCTTCGCACTCCTCCTCCCTCTCAATCATCAGTCCTACTCATCATCATCATCATCATCATCATCATCATCATCATCATCATCATCATCATCATCATCATCATCATCATCATCATCATCATCATCATCCCCCCCAGGACCTCCAACATCACGTTTTTGTTTCAAGACGTGGGCCTCAGGTCTTTCGCTCCCATCTTAGGAAGAACAAAGATCTGCGCGAACATCAGTTGTCGGAGGTTCGCGCGGATTTCCCGGCTCGGCGTTGGACCCTAGCGGCGCCTCCGGCGCCGCCCTTGACGCGGTTCGCGGGCCAGAATGGGGGATGGGGTCCAGCGCCGAGCCAACAAAACCGCGCGGACCTTCGAAGTTTTACATTTGTTTGCGCAGTTTCTTGTTCCTTGGATCTCCGGGGTCGTCTGGGCAACCACATGCGAGCCCTATCCCTGCAGGTCTGCTTTTGTGGGACGTCGGCTAGGGTTCGGAAGTCAAAGGATGCTTGCAGCCAGATGAACCCCAGCGGAGGTGCCCGATGCTCCAGCGTCGATTGGATCCGCAGCGGTAGGGTTCACAGGAGGCCGCAGACTGTTATATCCCGCGCGGGTCGTGGCTCCGAACCTCCCCCCGCGGGCTGGGCGGAGCGGAGTGGCCGCAGCCCGCGAGGAGGGCGCCCGCCCCGAGGGTATGGGCTCCCGCTTCGACCTCGGGCAGCGCCACGGGCGGTTGCCGCACAGCTCGAAGAGACAACGCCATGGAACAGCAGTCGGAGGTCCGCGCGGATTTCTCGGATCGGCGCTGGGCCCCCCTGGCGGCACCTACGGCGCTGCCCTTGGCGCGCTCCGCGCGCCAGGGATGGGGGGTCCAGCCCCGATCCAAGAAATCCGCGCGGACCTCCGAGAAGTTATGTTGAACTGTTTTTTGTTACTCAAGAGGCTCACGCCATTCCGCTGACCCCCAGGCGAAGTGGGGAGCGCATGGAAATCGCTAGTTGTGGTCTCTGAGACGCCCTGGAGCCCTCCTGGAGGCCTCTTGGGGCCTCTCGGGGGCCCCTCGGATGCCTCTGGGGGCTATTGGGCCCATCGAGGGGGGAAGGGCGCGGGATGTCAGCTCGTTTCCCCCCCTTGGGCCCGTCGTAAAGCCCTCTTGGACCTCTCGTGGGCCTGGGGACGTCTAGGAGTCCTCTTGGGGTCCTCTTGGGCCGTCTTGGGGACCTCTTCGGGGCCTCATGTGCCGTCTTGGGACGATCGTGGGGGCCCCTTGGGCCGTCTTGGACGCTGCGAAGGCGAAACAGGCGGAGCATGCTAGAAATATGCGCTTTCTTACGGGAATTGGGCGATGTTTGCCTCGTAGGGCTCTCTCGGCGGTCCTCTGGGAGCACGTTTGGACTGTCGTGGTGGCCACGTGGGCCGTCTCGAAGCCATCTGGGACAGTCGTAGGGCTGGCTACCTTGGGCCATCGCGACGCTTATGCGGAATGTCTTGGCGCTTTGTTTGGGCCCGCTGCGGCCGTCTTCGGGATCTGGAGAGGTTCCGGAGGCGCCACGGATGCGTTTGGGAGCTCGAACCCCCACCCCACCCCGTTCCCCGGCCCCCCCTCCCCTCGAATCGGATTTCAGACCCCAGGGGAGGGGGGAAGGGGGTAGGGGGACAGCCAATCATCTCACACTTTGCATCCCGGACAAGCGGGGGTAGGCGGATTCGAATTTCGGTCATATGCGATCTTCGGTCCGATCGGTCCGATTCGATGTCGATTTCGGCCAGCTTGATCCGATTCGAGTCCGATACTGTGGCGATCGATGCTTGCATGGCGCTGTTCTGCATCCTGGGGCAGCCGATCCGATGCGAGTCCTAGACGTTTCGCGAATCCCCACCAGCTCGCGTAGAAACGAAGCCACAGCGAGTGATAGTGGTCAGGGGAGTGCAGGAGCAAGTAGTGGAACGACGAGGGGGCAGCCGTCAAGCCGAAGCGAGGAATCAGCCTGAGCAGACCCTGCAATCAACCATAAACGCCTTCTCGGTCGCTCGATACAGAAGCCTACGGGCAGCTTAGATGGGGCATGTTGGAGCCCTCTCGAGGCCAACTCGGAGCCCGTCGGGTCTCGGAGCTCTCTCGGGCCACGCTGGGATCAGGTTGGGAGCATTGGGGGCCAGATTGGGCCCGTGTTGTGGTTTCCTCGGGCCCTGAATGAAGCCCTGAAAAGTCAAGAACTTCTCATTGCTTGGGGGGTCACGTTGCCGCCCTGGCCGCCTCGTGGGCACCTCGTGGCGCCCCGCGCTTAGGGGTTACGCCGAGGTTGCGCAACGTTGCCTCGCGGGCGCCTCGTGGGCGCCCCGCGATTGGGGGGAAGCCGAGGTTGCACCACGTTGCCGCCCATACCGCATCGTGGACGCCTCTCGGGCGCCGCGTGCGCCAGGTGAGTTTCCCGAGATTGCGAAGCGTTGCTGCCCGTGCCGCCGTGTGGGCGCTTCGTGAGCGCCCCCTGCTCTGAGCAAACACGACGTAGCATCCACCACATAATTTATCCGTAAGGGCTTCGCCCCCTGCCGCCGGCCCCCTCTCTCGGATAATGGGCTATGCGAGAGCTAAATCATGAGGTTTCGGCGCCGCCGTGAAGCAGCATCGGCAAGAGAAATTGAGATTCTGATGATATTGTTCATCAGTGTTGCATTTTGAACCAGCCCCCGTATGCTGTGCACTGAGGTTTCCCACACAATTTCGGTCATGTGGCAAATCTCATTGGTTTGTCGACCCTGACACCGCCGATGTGCATGAGGGGGGCCGCAAATTTGAGAAATGTGGCAAATTCCATTGGTTCTTCGACCCTGACTCCGCCGATCTGCGTGAGGGGGGCCGCCGAATTTCAGAAATGTGGCAAATCCCGTTGGTTGTTCGACCCTGACTCCGCCGATCTGCGTGAGGGGGGCCGCCGAATTTCAGAAATGTGGCAAATCCCGTTGGTTGTTCGACCCTGACTCCGCCGATCTGCGTATCTACAAGGGTTCACGGCTTCGGATACGCGAATAGCGCATACTTTACGACGGTGTCTGGCTTCGGGGTCGCAAATATAGCATAAGCTACGCAGGCGTATGGCTTCGGAGACGCGAATATCGAGTAATTTCCCAGGTTTTATGATTTCGGACACGCGATTATTGCGTAATGTACCAGGGTTTATGGTTTCGGTGGTCGCAAATACCGCATCATGTCAACAGGTTTATGGCTTCGGAGACGCCAATATTGCGCAATGTAATGTACTACTGCTTATGGCTTCGGATACGCGAAAACAGCGTAAGTTGCTAAGGGTGTATGGCTTCGGGGACGCGAATACTAATAGTTGACAATGGTTGACTGCATCGGGAACGCAAACACTGTGTAATTTACAATGGTTTATGGCTTCGGAGACGCGAACACAGCGTAGTTTACAAGGGTGCATCGCTTCGGGGACGCGAGCATCGCGTGATTTACAAGCGTTTGTGTACGATGGTTATGGGTTCGGGGACACGAATATGGCGTATCTTGCGAGGGCTTATGGCTTCGGGGGCGCGAATATTGTATAATTCACAAGGGTTTATGGCCTCGGGGACGCGAACATTGCGTAATTTACGAGGCTGTATGGCCTCGGGGGCGCGAATTTGATGTATGTTTACGTGTCCCACGCCCCCCTTGGAAATTCGGAGACCTTCCCAGGAGACGCTAACCAGGCTGATTTTCGGCTCCCCCCCCTCGCGCGGTCTATCCCAGAACGGGGTCGGAGGAACGCGCTGCGCCGCGGGTGCATCGGCGACTCGGCGCGATCTGGAGCCTGATGCGATTCCACGCGAGAGTGCCCCCGTTCGCTGGAGTGACATTTGGTGCGGTCGGGTTTTGCCGCCTCGCGCACCCCAAAGGGCGCGCACCACAGGTCACTCCTGCCTGGGGTCACCCTTACGTGCAGCCGACTGATGTGCTTCGTCCCGACGTCGCCAGTGCATCGGCAATGGATCGGCGATGCGGCCGAAGCGCGGGAGCCTCCGACCGCATCTGCTCTGGCCCCACTTGAGGGGCGACGCGGGACAACGGGGTCGTCTTCGCTGACATCAGCGCGTCAGCTCCCCGCGTGCCGCGCTGGCGGCCCGCGTAAGCCGCCGCGTAAGGTCGCTATGTCGTATAGCGTAAGACCCCTTTTTGATCGTCGCTCACTTGGGAGGCCTCCAGCACCAGCCTGCTTGGAGACCCGTGGGCCCGCCTAGGGAGCCCGCTCTTGCCTCCAGAACGAGTTGCCTCCTGGCCCCTCCCCCGACCAGACTTGGATCACATGTGCCGCATCCCCACCGGAGCATCCTGTAAACAAAAAACGCGCACGAAACCGAAGCATGCACGGGGAATGGACGTTCGAGCGATGGCAAGATCCTTGGGCCAATCCACTGGCCAGCTCTCCCCGAACCGTGTCCAGCTGTGGCAGCGGGAACTTTTCCAGGAGCGCTTCAGGGGCTGCAAATTTCACGAACGCTTCGACTGCGTTGGCCATGGGCCCCTCGGGGTGGCGGCGCTCGCGGTGGGGCGGTCATGACTCTGAGGGGCCTTGAACCACATGAGCAGTCCAGTGAGCAGTCCGGTCATCCGCGCTCTCAGCCTTTTTTGGTATTCGTTTTCCCCCCCCCTTCCCCCCCACGCCGAATCTTTTCCTCGGCAGTCATGTGTTGCCGGAAGTGCCTCTGGCCCAAGGTGGTGTCCCCAGGATTTCTAAGGAGGCCCCCATGGCCTCCAGAGCACCCCTTACCAGGCCCAGGCGGCAACAGGGGCTCCGAAATGGAGCGAAAAGCTGGGGGCACCTTGGGCCAGGGGCACCTTTGGCAACCCCCGAAGCAGCAGCACTGGCGATGGCGGAGACGAGCCTCGGGCACCTGCTGGCCCCGCCCAGGGCCGCGGCGGGCCCCGCGGGAGGCGCAGGCGCCTCCGGCGCGCAGGGGCGGGGTGTTGCCACGGATCCGAGGCCGTCAGGCCCAGCCCTCTTCGAGGTTCGGAAGTGTTCGGAGGAGTCGGTTGGTTTTCGGAAGGTCATCTCTTCGGCGGCGAGCGAGGGGGGGGGAAGCGAGAAGGAGAAGGCTTTTTCAGAAGGCGGCGGGGCTCCTCAGAAGCCCCCCCGCCTTCTGAGAAGTGTTCTGTGTCTTCGAGGAAGGTTGAGGAAACTTGTCTGGAGGCCAGAGGACTGCCCAGCCTTCTGAGAAAGGCCCGCCCCTCCTCACTTTCACCCCGGGCTCGCCGCCGATTCTCGCCTCGGGATGCTTTACAGCAGCTGCACCTCGCCGAGAGCGTTCCACGGGTGCCAGGCTTGGCCCGAACCACCGCCAGAGGCCGGAGGCCCGAGTTGTGACTCGACAGCTAGACCTCCTCGCTTCGAGAGAAAATCACGGCAGAAGGCGTCTGGCCGTTCTCTGTGTTTGAGAGCCGTTGCCGGGCCCCTGGGCCGTGCCACGAAGAAACGGCTTGGGTGGAACACTTGGTCCCGGGGACGCGGTCCAGACTTGCAGGGGTCCACGCTGTGAGCCGCCAGCCCAGAGCATATCCCTGTCCCTACAATTGGCACCACCTTCCTTGCTGCCGGTCTCAAGGATTCCCACAGCTTCTGAGGGCACATCCCTAAGGTTGTTATCGCCTTGGGCTTGTCAATCTTAGGGGTAGGGATAAGCTCGAGGCTGGTTATTGAAACAAATACGACGTCACGTGTCTGGGAAGGTGACCTTGGCCCAGAGGGCCCTCCGTGCCTCGGGAGGGGCGTTCTGGAGCCATCTGGGCCTACCCTGGATGAGTTCGTGGCGCCCTGAGACAGGGCCACGCCTGGCAACACTCGAACGACGGGCGAGGACGAGGCGGAAGAGTAGGTGAGTTCAGGAGGTGGGGGAAGATCGAGGATCCAGAATTTGTCGACGTCTTGGATCCTCATTGGGCTTCCTCGTTGCCACAGCCAGATCCGCCTCGGAATTGTATGACCATCCTCATATCCAAACCCCAGGCCCCCGTGCGGCCCCCGACCCCGTCGGAGGTTTGTAGGAGGAGGAGGAGGCAAAGGAGGATGAGGATGACTCACAGAGACAGGGGATGAGAATTTGGAGGAGGAGACTGATCGCCATGAAGCACAGGGGTCCTTAAGGAAACTCACCCTGTAGTTTTTACATGTTTTCGGGCTCTCGGGGCCCTCGCCAGGCCCAAGGAGCGTCCGAGAACAACTCGAGATGAAAAATTGGTCCAGGGGGGGAGCTCCAGGGACCAGGACTGGTCTTCTCCATTCCTGTTCCTTTTTGCCAGAGTGAGAGTGTGGGGATGAGACAGAGGAGGCATCATTAAGCGTATCAGCGGAGGGGATGAGGTGATCTGAGGAATGTTTGAAGAGAAGATGGAGAATTTGGAGTGCGGCTACGCGAAAGAAGATGATGCGGAAGTCCGCCTCTTGCTTGATCAAGGAATTTGACCGGCTTGACCAGCCTAGTCGTGGGGAGGTCAGGCCGCTCAGGGAATACATGACATGTTGAGTAAGGAGTGGTTCAAGCGATGGCTCAAATGGCTCAAGCCATCACCTCTCGCTCATCACCTCTCACTCAGCTTGCTCACCACGTGAGCCGCTCCATTGCCTTCCGGGCGCGAAAACCCGAGGCAGCCATGGCCCTGTCGGCGTTCGCGGCGGCTCCGTCGCAGCCGGCGGCCGCTGGGCGTCTCCTTGCGCCGGCGGCGGAGGCCCGCGGCCGACCAGAGCCCGCTGGCGTGGAGCTCTCCGCGGGTGCCGCGGTGGGCCCCGGCGCCATCGGGCTGGCCGCGACTGGCGGCGCAGCGGCGGGCCAGGCGCCCGAAGAAGTCCGCGGGCGCCCGCGGGCTCAGGGTCGTGGCGTGCGCCGGCGCCTCCCGCAGGGCGGCCTGGGCGACAGGATCAATGAGGCCCTCGAGGACGAAGGCATCTACATCGACGTGACCAAGGTGCAGGAGGTGGGCAAGAAGGTGCGCCAGATGATCATGGACCAGCCCCTGCAGGCCGAGTTCGAGGACGAGCTGAAGCGGCAGTGGGAGCGCGTCTCCCAGGGGAACGAGGGCTTCCGGGTCACCGTGCGCTCCTCGGCCACCGCGGAGGACTTCCCGGACGCGTCATTCGCTGGCCAGCAGGAGACGTACCCCAGCGTGCTTGTGTACGAGAACTTGAAGGAGAACGTGCACCAGAGCTATGCCCCCCTCGTCACAGATCACGCCGTCTCCAACCGCCACGAAAAGGGCTTCGACCACCGCACTGTCCAGCTATGCGCCTGCGTCCAGCAGATGGTCCGCAGCGAGGCGGCCTCCGCCGGCGTGATGTTCACGCTCGACACCGAGCCCGGGTTCCAAGACGCCGTCTTCGTCACCTCGGCATGGGGCTTCGGCGAGACCGTGGTCGGAGGGACCGTCAACCCCGACGAGTTTCACGTTTTTGAAATGACGCTGCGGCAGGGCAAGGAGGCGGTGGTCTCGGAGACGATGGGCTCCAAGCTCGCCAAGACGGTGCACGCCAAGGAGGGCGGCAGCAAGACCACCGATACCATCCCCGAGAGGCGTGCTGGCCGCTTTAAGAACCGCCCCAGGTTCAGTTCCAGGTCGCCGCGCCATTGGTGACCAGCGCCTTGGCACACCTGCAACAGCCAGGTGCCGCACAGCGTCGGACGGGAGCGCCCAACTAGTTGTACAGCTTCTTGTTAGATTGCGCGGACTCTTTGAATTTGACAAGCAGTTGTCCCCCCCGGCGCGCGGGCCCGCCCTGCGCCTCCAGTCCGCGGCTGCGGGGCCGCGACACATGGGCCAGCTCGCCTTCCAGGGTTGCCCCTCGCACGTTTGATTTCGCGTTGTTCTTGTCGTGCGCTCACGCGCGCAGCGTGGGCCATCCCCCTGGTGCGCGGAGCCCGCCCGATGCCTCCACTCCGCGGCTGCGGGGCTGTGGCATTTGGGCCAGCTCGCCGCCCAGGGATAGCCCCTCGCACGTGGTCGATTTTGTCTTTGTTACATGCCTCGCCTTCGCGTCGGACCTCGCGTCGCGCCGACCGATCCCCCGCGCCTGCGTCACCGGCGTGGCGCTGGCGGGTTGCGTCTTCCGATTGCGGTACGTTGCGCGCCAGATCTCTTCCATTCCTTCCCCCTTGCCCCCTTTTTCCCCCTTCCTTCGTCTCTCGCCTATCATTAGCGCTGTCATTGTTACTCACCACCGCCATGGTCGTGCAATTTCGGTTGTACGGCGTTCGGGCCTCGCTTTTCTTCGCCGACGCGCGCCGTCGCCCTTTGATTTTATTTTGTCGATCCGTCGTTGGTCCCCAGCTCTTTTCCATATTACACGCTGCGCCCTACCGAGTGGGACTGGCGCGTGGCCGCGGCGAGTCTCGGTTTTCGCCCGCCGCGCCCGCCCTGCTAAATGCCTCCCTTCTCTCCCCCTCCTCTCTTGCCCCTTCTTCGCGCATGCCGCGCGTTCGTTCCTCTTTCAGGCCACGGTTCAACGCATGAGTTTACCTGTTGCAGGTCGGCTCTTGGGGCGCTCTTGGTTTGCCTGGTGACCTTTTGATTCGCGCGGCGGTCGAGGCCGAATCAGGCGACGTTCTGCGGTCGCGTCCCTTCCTCCTCTTCCAAGTCAGATGCAGGGCAAGGAGTGGGGGTGCCAGAGAAAGGAACGGAGAGACGAAAAGGATGAGGTCGCGGAGTGACTGATCACAGTGCCCCTTCCTTCCGACGCTACGATTGGTCCGTGACGTGGGCCCCAGGGGCTCTCGACTTTTTCCCAGGGGCGATCATCTTGAACTATGTTTGTTGACGTCCCTGGGACCGAAACGCCCCCCCCCCCGCCCAATACGAGCACGAGCGTTTTTCGCGGCCTCGTGTGCGGAGAGAGAGGGTTAGGCCCCTCCCCCTCGTCCTCCCACAGTGCAGAAACTGGGGCAGGGTCCCCCGCCCACCCCTCCCACTCCCTCGCGCTAGAGGGATATGCCGCCCCCAAAGGTACCGCCCACCCGACCCGCCCGCTTGAATGCCCTACCCGCCCGACCGACCCGCCCGGCCGACCCGCCTGCCCTGTTCAATATGCCGCCCGCGTCGTCGTCGGTCGTCGCACACAGTCTTCGTCATCGTCGCAGTCGTCGTCGCTCTTGGTCGTCGGCGTTGGTCGTCGCAGTCGTTATCGTTTCAGTGTTTCTGGCGTCCACGTCGCTTGCAAGCGCGAGGGGGAAGGCCCCTCTGACACAACAACGGGGATCCCATGGTCTTGCGTCCCCATTCCCTGCCCAGGGGGGGAGGGAATGGGGAGGGGGTCACCGCGATACGTCTTTCCCCCCAAAATAGTTAGTGGAAGCTCATTCTCTTTTCGGCGACCTTGTTGACGGACTGGGGTCCCACCAATGGTGGAGAGAGCAAAGATCTCTCCGAGGTACAGCCGCCGCACAACAGGGGAGCGGAGGGGAGGGGCGGAGGGGCGGAGAGGAGGGGAGGGGAGGGTCACAGCGGGGGGGGTCGGGCTAGAACGGCGGAGGGGAGATCTTCCTCCTCGATCCTCGAGTTTCCTCCTCCTCCTCCTCCTCCTCCACCTCCTCCTCCTCCTCCTCTTCCTCCTCCTCATCCTCCTCCTCGTCATCTTCCTCCTCCTTTCCGATGTTCATCGATCCTCCTCGTCTCCCTCATCCTCATCAACATCAGCAACAGCATCATCATCAACAACATCGGCATCAGCATCATCATCATCATCATCAGCAGCAGCATCATCAGCAGCATCAACATCATCATCGATCGGATCGGGAGGGGGAGGGTCGGAGCGCGGGGGTCGGATCGGAGCGGAGGGCAGGTGGGAGCGGCAGTGTGGGGGGGGGGGCGGAGGAGGAGAGCCCACGCGGCTTCGGAAGGCCGCCCCCCTGGTTTTGCTGTTTGCGGGGAGGGGGGCGCTCCCCGCAGCACGAGGAACCACTGGCCGTCGCGAGTTCATTAATTGTGGCGACGGGTCTTCACCGAGCGCGCTCCACTACTCGCAAAGTGCCTACTCGCAAGCGTCCGAAAACCACATGTCTACCTCGATGTAATGGATCCTACGTGTCTCCCCGGCAGCAGATCCAGGCCATTTGCGAGTAGTTATTGCGCGGATGGAAAACCGCGCCTGTCTAGGTCTGGGGGGAGGGCTGAGGGGGAGGGCCTCTGACCTTCCAGGAGGGCGGACAGATAGCTCCAGGACCTGTGAGTCTGAACTCCAGTCGAGATGCTTCAGCTCTCTGAGAGGCTGGGAGGGAGCAGGATTGCCAATATGCCAGAGGCGCTGTCACGCGGGGCGCTGCTCACGGGGAGGGGGCGCTCAGGCGCAGGCCCGCGCCTCGTGCTCCTGAAGCGGGACGACAGCTCGGTGCGGGTGGCGCGGCCGCCTGTGTCTCCCCTTGGGAGGCGGCGTCGGGCGAGGCTAGGACGAGAATAAATCCGTTCCAGAGCGTTCCGGAACGTTGTCAGAGCGTTCCAGAACGCTCTGAGAAGGCAGTGGCGCCAGAGACATCCTCCAGGGCCGCCGTATCGCGGAGATTCTCGATGTCATCCTCACTCGAACCTATCTTCGTCCTGGTTTCGTCTTAACACCTGGGTCGGCATGATCGTAACGGGTGCGGAAAGAGTGGGGGCGTGCCAGAGTGGGCCTCGCTTGTGGCACGTCTTCCCTTCCCGCGGAGGGCCGGCAGAAGCTGGCGGAGGCAGATCGGCGGCTGGTCCGCCAGCGGAAGACAGGCGTAAGACGGCGGGCCTGTTTGGGTTCAGGGTGTTCCGAGTCGTGTAAGTGGGTGGGGCCACTTGAGCTCCTGCCCATTTGGAATAGACGTGTTGTCGGTGTCGCCGTGGACTGTGTCCACTTGAGACAAAGGACGACAGCCCAATAGCGGCCGCTGCCAGTTTTGACAGCAGTTGTTGTTGGGTATCGCATCTATTTTCTCGTACCCACGTCGGGCGTGCCAAGTGGAGCAAGAGCCGGCTATTTCTTCTTGAATCAATATACGCTTCGCGGTTTGCGGGTGACGCGGGGAATGGGGGGCAAGGCAGCCCAAGCATGCAGGCCGCGGTTGTCGCACCGCATGCAGCAATCGGCAGGCCACGCACCAAAGGTCTGCTTGCCTAGGGTCATGTGTGTAGCCGAAGGTTCAACAACAATGGTTCTGGAAGTTGCAGGGTAGGGCAAAGAATCCACATGATGTGGCTGGCGCCGATCGAGATTACAGAAGCTCTACAAGCCGAGCAGTGCATTGCCGAACGTGTTGCAGCGTCATGCGCCCGAACGAGTGCCTTGCAAGTTGCAACCGTGCATCCCAGCGTGACTCCGTAGCGCGATCACCTTCGGAGGCACATGGAATACGAGCACAATTCTGGAGGCAACTTCAGTAGTTAAGTTGGTGGCTTAGGACTAGAGTCTCAGTTGCGCAGCAGGAAAAGAGCTGGGTGGTAGTATCGTGCATTGATGCTTCCAGGTCCTAGATCGGTTCAGGAGCCGTACGTGTCTACCCAAATGTTGTTTACCCCTTCAGCGAGGTGAAAGGAATACCTGCTGGCAAACGTTTGTAGCGCCCCCGTTCCTCACAATAACAATTGAGATCCTCAAAGTTTCTTGCTCCCCAAACGGCACTTGCGATGAAGAGGTCTTAGCGGAGGGCAGGCGGAAGTTGCGCGCCGACTTCAGTGGGCGGCCGGATTTCGGTGGGCAGCCGGGTTCCCAGGTTCCCCCTTTTGGGTCTTGTGACGATTTCGGTGGGCAGCCGGAATTCCCTCGTTCCTGGATCCGGGCCTTATGCCGTTTACCACGGGCCGCTGGAATCCCGCGTTCTTGGTATGGTGTCCGAAGTTCTGTTGTGCTTGGGTCATTGCGACCATGGTCAGAATGAAAGAGTCGATAGTAGTAGACAGTGCATGTACAGAGTTGACCAGAGTAGTTTTCTCGCGCGATCCGACCTCTTCTCCGTGCGCACCCCTACGGGCATGTCCTGGAGCGCGTTCTGACCAGGATTCGAAGGCGGATCCAGCCGCAGCGACGCGAGCCTACCAGGAGGCCCCAAAACATGCAAAGCAGCTTGGAACGCGTCGCTCCTCCTCCTCCTCCTCCTCCTCCTCCTCCTCCTCCTCCTCCTCCTCCTCCTCCTCCTCCTCCTCCTCCTCCTCCTCCTCCTCCTCCTCCTGCGTCCTCAACCACCGTCCTCCGCCTCCTGCTCCGCCTTCTCCCCCCCGCCCTCCCCTCCCTCCTGCTCACACTTCTCCTCTTTACTCCCCGTCCTCATCCTAGGAGGAGGAGGAGGAGGAGGAGGAGGAGGAGGAGAAGAGCTGATGCCCCCGCGGCCCCCGAAAGCCACGCACCAACACGACGACCACGACCACGACCAGGACGACGGACGGCGCGGGGCGCCGAGGTGGTTCACCAGCTCCTCGGCGGCGCCGAGTGCCGCGCCCTGATTGCCGCCGTGGAGGGCCTCGACTTCTCGCCCCCAGGCAACTTCGAGGCGGCGGCGCGACTCGGCTCGGCGGTGACCAGACCGCGTGGTTTTGGAACGTTTTCGGCCGTTTCTGGGCGTGTTCCGGTTTTTTATCGGTTTTCTGCCGTTGCGCCGTTGCGCTTCGCCGAGAGCTTTCCAGGAGGGCCTGGATAGTCGCGAATAGCTTCCAGAGACCCGAGCTATGGCCGGGGAGGCAAATATTCGGAGGTGGTGAGTAAGTCGGGATTCAGGGTGACCGCACGGTTTTGGGACTCGGGTCGCTGTCCGAGGATGCTTCTGGCGACTGGGGCCTCCAGGGTCTCACAACCGTGCAGTGACGGACCGTGCGGTGAGGTCCTTCGGGATTTCGAGGTCACCTCGCGGTCTGTCACCGCACGGTCTTGGGACCCCCCCCCCAATCGGCTGCACCGTGGAGAGTTGTCGCACGGAGTTCTCGGACGCATTTTAGCACGCTGGTCGCCAATTCCAAGACCAGAGGGTTCCTTGCCTCGGGATCTTCCCAAGCGGCCGCCAGAGACCCGAGTTATGTGCCTTCGCCGTTGGCCGCAGGGAAAGCAAACGCTCGCACGACGAGGTTGAGAGTTGTCGTGGCGTGCGGAGTTCTCGGATGCTTCCATCGGTTGGAGGAGGCTTGCATGGCCCAGGATACAATCCAGCAGCTGCGCCTCACCGAAAGTGTTCCTGAGCGAATCCAGACCGTCTCGAACGGCCGCCAGAGATCCGAGTTGTCCGTTGGCCGCATGGGAAAGAAACGCTCGCACGACGAGACTGAATGATCCTCCACTGACGGCGTGGCCCTTCGGAAAAATGCCGCGCATCACCACGATGCAAGCGCGCGCTCGGCGGCCTTTTCACTGCAGCGGTTGCTCTGCCACCTTCTGCCCAAGTTGGTGTTGGAGAACCAGCTACGTTAAAGATCGGCGGCAAGCGAGGGGGTGAAGTGAGAAGGAGAAGGCCTCCTCAGAAAATGGCGGGACTTATCAGAAGCCTTCGCGCCTTCTGATAATTTGGTTGTGTCTTCGGGGAAGGCTTAGAAAACTTCTCAGAAGGCCTGGGGACTTCGAAACCTTCTGAAAAGGCCCGCCCCTTCTCACTTCCCCCCCCGGGCTCGCCGCCGACAAGTGGTCCAAGACAGTCAGGTGCCGGTCAGTAAGCGGTGAAGACCACCAGATGCGAACTGGAATTG